TCATGTCTCCATTAACTTGATATGGGCCATTTAAGAACTTTTTTTTTCTATAAAGCTATTTTTGCTATTTTTTACTCACTATTTTGTAAACACCTATTTAGCTTTTTAGATATAATGGAATATAATTCATGTTTGCATTGAAAAACAACGCTTTGCGCCTCATGACAGTACATGACCAATGGCAGCATGAAGCTATGCAAACATTGGCATGGTGACCGTGTCATGGATGATTTTTAGAGGAGAGCTTTAGCAGTGTAGAAGGTTTATTGAAGGTGGAAAAAGGCAGGAGGATGCTCTGTACTCTTTTGTTGTTAATTGTTTGTTGTTAATAACAATAGAATTGGAATTCAACAATGTGGTAGCATCCATGGCTCCCAAAAAACCAACACCCAGTTTATTTCACGGCTGCGGTTGATGGCAAAATTTGGGAATACTGAACTCTTGATGGAACGACCTGTGGAAATTTTCATCATGGCTCCATTGTAAACAATGGAACATCCGGTTTGCTGTCTGTCTACCGCTAACATGTGAACACAGCATAAGTTTACGCTAACACTAGACACTAGCTGTAAGATGCGCGTGTACACTTTTCAAAATTACCATGATTGTTATAAAAGGCTCTTTTTTCTGCATATAAGCTAGATTTGGAGAGCATTGTACATTTACATTGATTTAATGCTTTAGGATTTCACCTGTCTTACTCCTCAGAACAACATGATTATGAGCAATAAGTTCTAATAATCTTAAATAGTACACCAGTATTAATTATTAGTTTTAGATAAACCAGGTGTTAGTTATAATTTATGATGTCACACACACAAAACAAACAAACAAAAAAAATCAAAAGGCAGACACATACAGACACACATATATGTATCCTTTTATCCATATATCTGAATCCTTACTTTGGTTGTCTCCTGTATTCGAACTTCCTGAGATCCAAAAGGCCACACACCGTGTTCAGCTTTTATATGGCATACATGAATCACAAAAACAAAACTGGCATGAAGTACAAAAGAGAATTAAAGAAAGAAAAAACACGTCAACTTAGAGGCAAGAATACATCGAGTCAGCAAGAAAAGAAAACCTCTTTTGAAATGGGTGCATAATCAGTTCGAAGACTCCAGCATGGAAGACCTAAATAATGGAGTTCAGGTTTTGATATAACTATTAGTGCCAGTGAAAGATGCTTTGATGTTAATTGAAACCACTGGGCAGCAATCTGCTTTACAGCACTGACAAATAACAGCTTCCTATGGCTTATCATAGAACGTTAGGGGAGGCCACATTCACGCCACATGCTCATTCCATACACATAAAGTCTTCTTCACTGTCTGGAAATGCATTGTGGGTAGAATTAGGGGTATTCCTAACAATGCCAACGGTTTCACTAATGCTACTGGACAATGTTCTGTTTTTTTCAAACCAGACTTTCCACTTCTTTTGAAGAAACCACATCACAATTGAGCAGCGCATTCATAAAGCATAGGTGGCCCGATGTAAAAGCCCACATGGGAAGTCTATCATTATTTGTAACAGAGGTTCTCCTGAAATGTAGGCTATTTTTCAAGTCATGCATTAGGCAGGCAATGCAAGGTTCTGGTTCTAATATGGACCTCCACAATGGCCTCCTTTTTTTCTCCTTCTCTCTCTCCAGTGTTCCCTATTGCATTTCTTTGTGTCGAGCACGTTTCACCTTTGATTTCTGCCTGCCGTTTGCTTTCGTTCTTGCCTTCTCTTTCTAACCTTTTTTTATACGCTCATTATATCATCTATGGGTAAAAGACAACCTTGCGCGAGGGTCATCCGGCGCTGATGCAATGCACAATAACACAAAACATCCCCCATGGCGCAAAGTGGGAACAGAAAATTGGCCAGACAAAAGACGTGGAGGATTTGATGGGCCACAGAAGGTCTTTCCCTTTTTTTCCTCTTTGCTTTTTTTCCCTACTTTTTTTTCCACGCCGTGCTAGTGCCACATTTGAGCAGAGTTGAGGTTAGCGAACATGCAAAAGGCGTCCTGGAGAGAAGCGCTGTGAACAGGTATCACTCTGTAAGATGAGACCAATCAAGGGCTGACCGCTGACATGTTCATCAAGTGCTGGTCACTGTTTGGGACTTGTAGGCCCCAAGTGATTGACAGTTGTAATGCACACATAATGATTTAGAACATAAACCATACATGATCACTGATTGAGATGACGTGTAAGAGACAAGAAGCATTAGCAGACGTGAACTTCACCAAAAAAAAAAAGAAAACTTCCTTTGTGTTAGTTTGAAAAAAAGACTTAAGTTTATTTCCCCTCAACACACATACATGAACCATATACCCATATGTTTATGTTCTTTTATGCATATGGATCCACTTTGGCCTAGGTATATCTCAAACAGATCCTTTCTTCTCAAGCTAAAGGGAAAGGAGGAAATGTAGGTTATAAATAGGAATCAAAAGAGCCCTCCCGTTTATTGCAACAGGATGCCAGAGACACCGACATCTTTGAAAGTATGAGAGCTTTGAGCTTTTTACAAGACAGGTGAAGGGAACACATGTGTTAAATCACTGTACCCGCCTGGCCTTGGTCAGCCCTACCATAAAAGAAAAGAGATTACAAAGAGGTCTAATGAAGACACTGATCAAAGCCTGTAATGGTAATATGTAGCAGGTGTTTTCAAACCTTCGGCACCGAAGCAGGGGGGCCTCAGCTTATGTCTTTCGCAGACCGTGTTCTTTTGTCCTGATGAAACGGATAACCAGCAGAGCGCTTTTCAACACTTTTCCAGGAGAGATTATGAGGTATCTGCTGACCTCAGGAGAGCAACGGGAGTTTCAATGTGCGTTTGATATAGAAATGTTCCTACATATTCTTTCGCAGCTCCGTGGAAAAATGAACACAGCACTGGTTTGGGGCCCTTTTTACCTTTGGCTGTGAAGCACCTGGGCGTAGGCTGTGATCGACAGAGGGTTGAAAGAGACTTGGCAAGATTCAGCTTTGGAATATGTTCAAAGAGTGATTGTGTGTGTGTTTTTTTTATGCCAGTTGCAAAGTGTTGCTTCTGTTTTTCATCTATTGAAGCAGAAGTGAAGTGAAACTAAGTGTGTGCGTAACTTAAGGCAGCTTTCCTAGATGACATTTTCAGTGATTATTAATTAATTTTCAGCTGATGATTAATAGTCTAGAAATAATTGTGATTAACAATTTAATTGTCTTTTCTTGTTCAATATATGCATCTACTGACATACAAGCCAAAAATGTCCAAATTGGCTTATCAGCCATCTTGTTTACTAGCTGTGTTTGGTGGCTAACACTGTTAGCACTGTTGAGTTGGTACACTACACTCTTGGATGCGTGCATACACCCTCGCACACCCCCTCACACACACATTTTAATTATACAGAATCATGTGTAGTCAAGCAAAGCTAAACTCTTATTCTGGTAGCATGCATGCTAAAAACATTAGAATTAGCTAAACAGCTAACAAATAAACAAACCCTTTTCTAACTTATTGCTCTAATATGCTGCCCTCACATGTTAGAGAATCATATTAGAAGTTTTTTTGTTTTCATAAATCCCATGGCAAACGCACCCTGCTGAAAAAAGAACATTAGAGCCATTAGAAAACATGATGGTTTTGCTTTCTAAGTGGAATTGGCTTAGTTACCAACAGAGACTACTGTAGGACACCTTTAGATTCCATTAGGAAGCCATCAAATGCCTCTTTAATCAGTCCCAGAACACCTGTTAAACCATTAGAATCCTTTAAATGATAGCAATCCATCAGGAAAACACAAAATATCATTAGTGGCTATTGGACACTATCAGAAACCAACAGAAAGGTGTAATGGTTTCTATGATTTTTTTTTTTCAGCAGGGCACACAGCAAGCATATACTGGTCCGCTGGCTTGATGAGGTCGGCACCGCATTGACTATAGGCCCCTGCTGGTCCGCCCTCAGACCACCCACATTATTGTCCTGCATACAAGGTCTAACTATCTTTTAATCCCCTCAAGTAGAGTTTGAAAACCAAGATGAATATTACAAACAAATGAGATAAAAAGAATTGATGGCCTAATGTAAAATGATGATGAAAATATAAAATTAGCTGAAAATGTTGTAGCTGAAAACCTGCTGTATTTATAAACCTTGCTGTTAAAAAGATTTACTAATTAAAAAAGGATAACGCAAAAAAAAGTAAATTGGACAGTGAGTGGAAAACGGGCACTTAAAAAGGTGGTATTTTGTCTAATACTGTGCTTAATCCACTGGTGATTAAGCACAGTATTAGACAAAATACCACCTTTTAGGCTGTCTGGAAAATGTGGAGCAAAAAGCCAGTGGACCCCCAGCTTTGCAGTCAGCACGCCAACAGTGGCACACTATCCTCTTGCTATCTGGGAATATACAGCACATAAACAACTCAAAAGCTAGTAATTACAATGAAAACAAACAAAAATACAGCCCAAAAACGAATCAAAAGCTACTTGTATTCATGGAAAACAAATGTACAACACATAACTCGAGAGCTAGTTTTATTTATAGAACACACACAGCAGGTAAATGAATCAAAAGCTTGTTTCATTCATAGAAAACAAATACACAGCCCAAAAACGAATGAAAAGCTAGTTTTATTATATAAAACAAACACACAGCCCATAAACGAAGCAAGAGTTAGTTTTCTCTTAGAAAACAGTGTCCATAAACACTTAAAGAGCCAGTTCTGTTTAGATGTGAATGTCAGCATTACTTCCTTTTCCTTTGCACATTAAAGCACCATGAACTAAAAAGGTACTTTGCTCAGGTATTCTAGCAGCTTCGTTCGATATAATTTTCTTAATCTGTATCTTTTTTTTTACAAGTTTAGCGCAGGCTCTGTAGCCGAATGTAAAACATTCGCGCATTGCGATTTCCGGCTTGAGTCAAATTACAAGCGTGGCTTTTCCTGGCGCAAGGCTTCTGGGAAATGTAGTACATTGAACAGTAAAATGGGCGAATATTTTAAACTGAATGGCACTTACATGAAAAACTAACCAGCGTATCGACACGAATTTGATCTATGTCACGACTTCGTGTGTAACAGCTGTTTTTAACCCCCCAGCAGATGTTAAAGAAGCTTAAGGAAGCGAATGTAAACTACATCTCCCACGACGGCGCTTAATGAAATCGAGGCAGTGTAAACAGTACTTCAGGAACATGAAAAGATCGGATGACAGTGAGAGGGAAAAGAGGAGAAAGGTATCGCTTGCAGTTTTCTCTGAGTTCGCCAAGCACCACATGCCGTTGCACAGTTTCTAAGGAATGTTTCTGTGTGTCCGGGCCGGTGTTGCATGCGCTGTGTCGTTGTGTGGAGAGCTTTGCAAGCCTACGCATCTTCCCATGCTGGCGTTTTCTATAGGTTTTCCTTTCTTTTATACGACATTTCTTTCTTCATACACAAACGGCAGCGTGCAGAAACGATAGCCTGCGATAAACTGCGACGTGTGATTGTTTTCTAGCAGCTGTCATGAACTACTTCTGTGGATGAATTCTGTTCGGCCACGTAAAAGTCCAGGCTACCCTTCACAATGTTGCTTTAGCCGAAATCGTGACAATGAATGAAATCATCAGATAAAACGGTAAACCCCACATAGCTGACTGAAAGACAAACTGACAGAATGCGTTCAGGAGGCGATAAAAGTCCAGCCTCACTCTCGGGCGAATTTTGGTGTTAGATTTTGGAACAAGAGTCATTCTCTGTTTCAGTGCCTTAACGTCATCTATCGAGTGTATATTTGGTTTTTTCGCAAAACTGGCAGCTTTAAAGCATCATGAAGTGAAGGTCTAGACTACAGATTCTGTCAATAGCCTGCTCTTTTCTAGAGTTCCATCATCTTACATTCTTCATCACTACATTTTCTCCCACCATCCCTTTATGTCTTAGAACAAGTCAGGCTATCAGACATGCTGAGCATATTTCACAGTTGAAATCAGGTGTGAACAACCTTTTTGTTCTTTGGGATGTTTCTTTTCTTTTCTGGAAGGGCCTTTTAAAGGGAAATTCCACCAGTTTCTCATTTTTTTTTTCTGAATAATTCAGTCCTTGCGCTGTAAACAGATTCATTCAGAGTTGTTTGATGTGAAGTGGTTCGTTGTAGAAAAAAACTTACAGACTCTGACTTCTTTACAGTGGTGGTGATGGGAACCAGGGCTCACAATGTCTACAACATAATATAGCCATTTCATTTCCTATCCAAAACTACCAGTGAACCTACATGTGCGTTCTGATATGTAATGTTGGTGATTGCAAAATAGTCATAAATCTGAAAAACTACATTTTTATTAGGCACTATTTGCCTCACAATGCCTTGCATGTACCCCTCCACCATGAATAGATTAAAATAAATGTATTAAAATACATTTTAAGCCAAAACTTTACAACAGAATTATCATAAGTGTGTAAGCCATGAGGCAGCCTATATCTAAATATTTCATGTAATAACTTTCTGTGAGGGGGCTTTCAGAGGCAGTAAACTCTTCAGATGTCTGGTTCCTGTCACCACCACTGTGAACACTTCTGACTTGACAGGTTTTTCTAGATGATAGGGATCTAGGTGATTGGCTTTCTAAAGTACATTCCCCAAGTATGCAGGTATGTTATTAACCTCAGAACTTCTTAACATCATTGATTCTGGATTACATTGCAGCCAAGATTTCCACCTCCAGCACTTCATGCCCCCTTTCAGTATGTAATTTAAAAGATGGTGTTGAAAAAAGTCTTGTTCAGTTACTAGTATTACAGTCAAGGCATTGGTACCAAAATATTGAATATGGGCCTACTTGAGATCTCAATTGTCAAACCACTTAAAAGAGAGTTCCACTGATTTTTCAAAATTTCTACATAAAGCAATCATTGAGATGTAAACAAAGTCATTCAGAGAGGAGATAGATTACTGACTGGATAGATTACAGGCCTCTGACTAGTAGGGGCCTCAGGGGGCCTCAGATACCTGGGACAATCTACTGCAAATTGTCCCAACTTTAGATTGTAAACATTAGATGAATGTGGAGATCTTGTATGTTCAAGTCATTGAAATAAATGAAAAAAAAAAAATCTTATGTGTGATTTAGGCCAGGTTTTTGGTGTTGCTTTTCAAATGGGATGTTAGTGTTTCCCTTTCTGTTTGTGTAGGACTAGTTCTATTTTGGCATAATGGCTCAGTTTGGCTTGCAAGAAAAAACAAGTTTCAAAATTTCAGAGAAGATTAAATTCTTACACAAGATTCTTCAAATCTTGCAATAACTGATGAAGACATATAAACACACAAGCTCATAATAGTTTTTAAACTCACTTTTTTGGCATTATTGTTGAAGTTCAGTGGCCTTCAAAGACCCTTGTGCCCAGGGGCCTCCCAAGAGCATGATCCATCCCTGACTCAGAGGGGTCTAATGCGAAATGGTGCATTGTAGAGAAACTTGCTGAATCTTTCTGTACAGTGGTGGTTTCAGGAACCAATTGGTCGTGATGTCTACCACACAAATATAGTCATTTTATTTAGTATCAAAAAATAATAAACTTAAACGCGTCATCTTAGTTTTTATTTGTTATGTTGATAATGGTAAAATAGAGGTAAAACTGTAAATAAAATATATATTTTACCTTACAACACCCTGCATGTACCTCTCTGCCATTTAAAACGTGTTTTAGGCCAAAAGCTTATCTCAAAACAGTCGTAGAACTATGTCGGAGACATCAAGCAACATATTTGTAACCATGTCATGTAAGAGCTTTCTGTAAGGGGGCTTTTAGAGGCATTAAACACTTCAGACATCTGGTTCCTATCACCACTGTGAACTAGTTCTAGTTTCTCTAGAATGAAGCATTTCACATCAGACCACACTGAATGACTTTGACTTCAACAGTTTGATTACGGAGAAAAAAAACAGTGGAAGTTACCTTTATTTCCATTCTTTTCACTGATTGCAAGTTATATGTAGGTAACAAATTAGCATGTACAAATTCATGAGTCAGGCTTCAGTCATTGTGGTTTTGTTAGTGTTTAAACAAACTATTTGAGATCTGTAATAGTTGTATTGTATCTTGTTCAGTAAAGACTTTCATTTTGGAAAAGCATTCTTTTTCTTCTTTTGGTGCTTTTAGTTTCCTTTGAAATTGGATTGGCCACAGATTCATTTCAGTACACTACATAAATATGCAGCATAAGCAGAAATAAGCTTTGGCATAAGTTGAGACATTTTTGATAGCAAGAACTGTATCACTCAGAATTCATCCATTATTCATCCAGTGTTCACCATAATCTATTTCATTTCTCCAAATTAGGATAAATGAAATGTATGTTATTAGGTGCTTATTTACGTTTATTTAGCTTTATTTACTGGTTTATTTTATTTATTTACTTTTTGGTTTAGTTATTTCAAGTCAGTGTGGTAGGCCCTGCCTTACAACATAAAGCGTTAACTCTACACACTTTAAAAAGATGGTTCTTCAGGGGTTCTTTAGTAAAGGCAATTGTTCTATTTAGAGCCATGTGTTCTATATAGAACCATTTGATGCTGTGCTGGTACATTTTTTCTTCATTAAGGTACATTGTTGTACCCTCAAAGTGGTTTTAAGGTCCAATTATGTACCTTAGATAAGTTTTTCCCAGGTGAAAAGTACGTATTAGTACCTTTTCATAAACTAATGTTTTAAAACAGAACAATAAAATAAAAAGCCTGGAGATGAGACAGGGTGTGTGGAGTCAATACAACTTAGAAAATTTAATTTCAGTGGATTATGGTACAGTTATGTTCCATGACTAAAGGTACTGAGATGTACCCTTGAGGGTCTAACCCTAGTGACAGTTTCATATCTTTTTTCTGAGAGTGTGCATTGTGAAATGGTTCTCTGGATTGATGGAGATTGTGTTATATATGGTTCTGTATAAAACCTCTTGAAAATGGCACCAAAAAGGGTTCCGCTATTATTATGATATCAAGCTTGTGACAATAGAAGAACCCTTATTGGTGCTATATACAACCACATACAACACATTCAATCAATCTGAATAACCTTTTCACCATGCAAAGAACCATTTAAGCATGAAATGGTCCCATATAGAATCCATGGTTCTAAACAGAACCATTGCCTTGAAGAACCATCTTTTTAACGTTCTGTTGGTGATGATGCCAGAATAGACATTCTCAGTCTTTAATCGTAATTGTGGAGGACCATGGAGTTCTGCTGTAATTTATCTGCCACACTCTTTCTAATATTGGTGTTAGTTTGTTATCAGCAGAGAACATGATTGAATGATAACATTGCTAACAAATGCAAGGCCCCAGAGCAGATAATCCTCTCTGAATGTTATTGTCAGGTTTGATAGATACAGTTTAACATGATTTGAAGCAATGCAAATAACATTTCCACTGTTATGGGCAGATAAGGTAGCAAATCACATCACTTAGCTAATCTGTGGAAAGGCCACATTTACTGCCTGGGCAAAAGCCATAGTAGGCATTAGAATTAGATAACTTCTGTTTCATTATTTGGATGATATTATGGGTAGTTATGGGCCGTTTAGGATTCTTATGACAAATGTACACTTATATTGTAGGCTGTTGGAGATCTGGATCACATTTGTGAAATTATTGGTAGTTACAGGTAGTTTGCTGTTTATTACTGTTGGCAGGCAGATGTGTTGGTTTTAGCAATGAACAGATCACTTGACCCTAAAAGACCACACCTAATATTTTAATGTGTGTTTACTATGTTCATTATTAGTGATGCACCAAATGACAACTCCTAGCCAAAACAGAAATTCAGGACACAGTCAGCTGAAAACTGAAAAAAGTTATTCATTTATTATTCTATTTTGCCTTTATTTATGCTTTTGAATGAGTGCAATAAACATAAATAACTACACAGTAATGAAGAAAAACACTTTTATTATTAATAGGCACTATTTAAAATAGAATAAAACTGAGCTAACAATATATGAAAACAGTTAGCTAGAAAAGAGTTTACAAAATTATTACAGTATGTACAGCATGTGCCTATAAAATCCACGGTTGGTCATCCAAGGCAATGAATTCCATTATTTTTAATCGTTTGCGATTTATTTCACCATTTCAGAAACTACCTACAGATAATGTATGAGTGCTAGCTGGGACCTTTTCTTCTATTGTTTTGCTGTATACATTTCATATGGTATAGCAAATCCGTGTTGGAGACATTCTTGGGTATCAACTCTTGATAT